GCTGTGCCCCGCTCCTGCGCACGATGCCCTGGTTCCCAGCATGCCCAGCTGGAGCTCTGCTCTGATTGGCTGCTGGGGAGCATAACACATCAGCGTCATCTGTCCTACTGTGGTTTTCATCCGCCCCCGTCTCCCCGCAGACAAGGACACCCACCGCCTGCTGTTCCCAGCCGTCAGCCACGCCCACGCCGGCGTCTATAAAAGCGTCATTGCCAACCGAGTGGGGAAGGCCACGTGCTACGCTCACCTCTACGTGACAGGTGAGGGCCCCGCGCCCCAGGCTGGGCTCACAGGGCCTCCCTGCTGCGGCCTGGGGGAGAAGGCAGGACCTCAGCCGCACAGGGCTGGGCCCTTCCCCGGGGCACGGGCAGCCGCGCTCATCTGGCCGTGGAGCGACGTGCCGAAGGCCGGCTGTCCCCAGGAGCTTGCTGCACGACCACAGCCCAGAGCCTGGCCACGTGGCTCTGTCCCATCATCGCACGCTCCCATGCTCCTCTGATGGACCACGGGGACGAGCGGCTGGCGTGTGCCGACCACGGGGACGAGCGGCTGGCGTGTGCCGACCACGGGGACGAGCGGCTGGCGTGTGCCGGTGTGTGCCGACGTGTCTGTGGTTTATGGGTGACTCCGCTGGAGGCAGCCGGTTCTGTGTCTTCGGGGCACTGCCGGGTGTCTTGCCCCTACACGGAGCCCCGGAAGCCCTGGGGGAGTCACTGGAGCTGTTGTGGCCCGGTGGCTGGCAGGGCAGGACGGGCGCCGGGAGCAGAGCACTGCGAGTGGGTGGGGAGGGATGGCTGTCCCGTCCCGTGTGTCTCTCCACATGGCCTGTGGCCCCCTCTCTCAGCTGCTCCCCACACATGCCCACCATGCGTGTGGGTCCGGGACCTGCCTGCCCAGAGGTTGTGGGGCCTGCTGAGTCCACCTGTGCCATGTCTGCCTGTTTCTTTCAGACGTGGTGCCGACTCCCCCCGACGGGCCGCCCGCTGTGCTGGCCGTGACCGGCAGAGCCGTCACGCTGACCTGGAACAAGCCCAAGTGGCTCGACTCAGCCATAGGTGATCTGGGCACTGGGAAGGGGGCAGTGGCGGGGGCTGGGCCAGGCCAGGGGGGCAGTGGGAGGGCGAGAAGGGCTGGGCAGGGCTGTGGGGCACTGGGAAGGGGGCAGTGGCGGGGGCTGGGCCAGGCCAGGGGGGCAGTGGGAGGGGGAGCAGGGCTGGGCAGAGCTGTGGGGCACTGGGAAGGGGGGCAGTGGGAGGGGGAGAAGGGCTGTGGGGCACTGGGAAGGGGGGCTGTGGGAGGGGGAGAAGGGCTGCCCCCCAGCGCCTGGGAGGGCCAGTGGCCAGGTGGAGCTTAGAGCTGAGCCGCATGGGGATCCCCCCAGCCGTGGGGCCTGGCTGGGCTGGGCCGTAGCCGTGGGGCGGGGCGGAGATGGTGCTGGCTGGGAGCCCTGAGAACGTAGCATGGCATTAGCCTCTCCTCTGTGCAGACCCCGCCTCGGTGACCTACACCATCCAGCAGCAGGCGCTGGGCACCAGCCAATGGACCATCGTGGCCACCGGCCTGCGAGACACGCGCGGCACATTGCACAGCCTGGCCAAGGGGCCGCGATACCTCTTCCGAGTGCTCACGGCCACCCCCAGGAGCAGCAGCAAGCCCTCGCCTCCCAGCGAGCCAGTGCAGCTCCTGGATCGGGGTAAGAGGGGCGGGGGGAACTCCGGGCCACACCTGGGAGCTGCTGGGCCCCCTTAACTCTCCAGCCTGGGCTGTCTCCCACAAGGCTTTGCTAGTGGCAAGCAGCAAACCCCTCCAGGTGCTGTGATCACTCAGCCACCAGCATGTGGACCCCACACCCCGCTGGATTGCATGAATGCTCCCAGAGCCGGTCACATAGAGAACGGCACCAGCCCATCCCCCCAGCTCCCCAGCCTTGCACCCCGGAGCTGCACCACCCTGCCCCGGGCAGACACCCGACCAGTGTAAGTTCATTGCCCAGTCGCCCTCCCTCAGTGTGCAGAGGACACGCACCAGCCTTGGTAACCAGAGCTGAGATTTCCCAAGCACGGGTTTAGGTAAAGCATAAAGCCGGTTTATTCACTACAGGAAGGTCGGTTACACGTGATAGGCACAAAAAGTCAGCGATAGTTACCAAAGAAAATAAAAGATAAACACCCAGTCAAAATCTTAACCCTTATTATACCAGGCAGTATTTGGATCAAGCAGTTTTCTCACCCCACTGGATGTTACAGTTCTTAATACTCAGACTTCTCTCTCCAGCCTGGGACCAGTCTCCTCAGTTTAAGTCTTTGTCTTTCCAGCATTCTTGTTGTTTCTAGCATAGGTGGGGGAGGAGAAAGGCAAAATCATAGAATATCAAGGTTGGAAGGGACCTCAGGAGGTATCTAGTCCAACCCCCTGCTCAAAGCAGGACCAATTCCCAACTAAATCATCCCAGCCAGGGCTTTGTCAAGCCTGACCTTAAAAACCTCTAGGGAAGGAGATTCCACCACCTCCCTAGGGAACCCATTCCAGTGCTTCACCACCCTCCTAGTGAAATAGTGTTTCCTAATATCCAACCTAGACCTCCCCCACTGCAACTTGAGACCATTGCTCCTTGTTCTGTCATCTGCTACCACTGAGAACAGTCTAGATCCATCCTCTTTGGAACCCCCTTTCAGGTAGTTGAAAGCAGCTATCAAATCCCCCCTCATTCTTCTCTTCTGCAGACTGAACAATCCCAGTTCCCTCAGCCTCTCCTCATAAGTCATGTGCTCCAGACCCCTAATCATTTTTGTTGCCCTCCACTGGACTCTTTCCAATTTTTCCACATCCTTCTTGTAGTGTGGGGCCCAAAACTGGACACAGTATTCCAGATGAGGCCTCACCAATGTCGAATAGAGGGGAACGATCACGTCCCTCGATCTGCTGGCAATGCCCCTACTTATACAGCCCGAAATTCCATTAGCCTTCTTGGCAACAAGAGCACACTGTTGACCCCTATCCAGCTTCTCGTCCACTGTGACCCCTAGGTCCTTTTCTGCAGAACTGCTGCCTAGCCACTCGGTCCCTAATCTGTAGCAGTGCATGGGATTCTTCCGTCCTAAGTGCAGGACTCTGCACTTGTCCTTGTTGAACCTCATCAGATTTCTTTTGGCCCAATCCTCTAATTTGTCTAGGTCCCTCTGTATCCTATCCCTACCCTCCAGCGTATCTACCACTCCTCCCAGTTTAGTGTCATCTGCAAACTTGCTGAGAGTGCAGTCCACGCCATCCTCCAGATCATTAATGAAGATGTTGAATAAAACCGGCCCCAGGACCGACCCTTGGGGCACTCCGCTTGAAACCGGCTGCCAACTAGACATCGACCCATTGATCACTACCTGTTGAGCCCGACGATCTAGCCAGCTTTCTATCCACCTTATAGTCCATTCATCCAGCCCATACTTCTTTAACTTGCTGGCAAGAATACTGTGGGAGACCGTATCAAAAGCTTTCTAAAGTCAAGGAATAACACATCCACTGCTTTCCCCTCATCCACAGAGCCAGTTATCTCCTCATAGAAGGCAATCAGGTTGGTCAGGCATGACTTGCCCTTGGTGAATCCATGCTGACTGTTCCTGATCACCTTCTTCTCCTCCAAGTGCTTCAAAATGGATTCCTTGAAGACCTGCTCCGTGATTTTTCCAGGGACTGAGGTGAGGCTGACTGGCCTGTAGTTCCCCGGATCCTCCTTCTTCCCTTTTTTAAAGATGGGCACTGCATTAGCCTTTTTCCAGTCATCCGGGACCTCCCCCCGATCGCCATGAGTTTTCAAAGATACTGGCCAATGGCTCTGCAATCTCATCCGCCAACTCCTTTAGCACCCTCGGATGCAGCGCATCCGGACCCATGGACTTGTGCTCGTCCAGCTTCCCTAAATAGTCCTGAACCACTTCTTTCTCCACAGAGGGCTGGTCACCTCCTCCCCATATTGTGCTGCCCAGTGCAGCAGTCTGGGAGCTGACCTTGTCTGTGAAGACCACGGCAGAAAAATCATTGAGTACATTAGCTTTTTCCACATCCTCGGTCACTAGGTTGCTTCCCTCATTCAGTAAGGGGCCCACACTTTCCCTGACCACCTTCTTGTTGCTAACATACCTGTAGAAACCCTTCTTGTTACTCTTAACATCCCTTGCTAGCTGCAACTCCAGATGTGCCTTGGCCTTCCTGATTACACCCCTGCATGCTCCAGCAATATTTTTATACTCCCCCCTAGTCATCTGTCCAAGTTTCCACTTCTCGTAAGCTTCCTTTTTGAGTTTAAGCTCACCGAAGATTTCACTGTTAAGCCAAGCTGGTCGCCTGCCATATTTGCTATTCTTTCTGCACACCGGGATGGTTTGTTCCTGCGCCTTCAATAAGGATTCTTTAAAATACAGCCAGCTCTCCTGGACTCCTTTCCCCCTCATGTTATTCTCCCAGGGGATCCTGCCCATCAGTTCCCTGGGGGAGTCAAAGTCTGCTTTTCTGAAGTCCAGGGTCCGTATTCTGCTGCTCTCCTTTCTTCCTTGTGTCAGGATCCTGAATTCGACCATCTCATGGTCACTGCTGTCCTGGTTGTCACCCACTTCTACTTCCCCTACCAATTCTTCCCTGTTTGTGAGCAGCAGGTCAAGAGGAGCACGGCCCCTGGTTGGTTCCTCCAGCACTTGCACCAGGAAGTTGTCCCCAACACTTTCCAAAAACTTCCTGGATTGCCACTGTCCCTTATTTTATCCCCTCAGTGCCTGGAGCCCAGGAGCCCAGACATGTCCTGATGGGCTTTGCTGAGTCACAGGGTTGAGCAGTCCCCCAGTGTGGTGCTTGGGCAGCCCCCATTGAATTGTAAATCCCTGATTCCAACTCCCCTGCTGAGACTCTCAAACTTACCACATATTTCAGTAACAACCATGCAGCAAAATCCCAGAACTTCCTGCACCCGAACGCTAGACACAGGGGTGCCAGGTGTCCTGTTTTCGACTGGAACGCCCGGTCCTGGCAGCTCCGGTCAGCGGGGCTGACTGGGCCATTAAAAGCCCGATCGGTGGTGCAGGCAGACTCCCAACCTGGCTCCGTGCGACTCCCTCTGGCTCCTAGGCGGAGGGATGGCTACTGGGGCTGTGTGTGCTGCCCCCAATGCTAGCGCCAGCTCAGCGGCTCCCATTGGCCAGGAACCGCAGCCAATGGGAGCTGAGGGGGCGGTGCCTGCACATGCAGGCAGCACAGAGAGCCACCCCGAACCCCCTCCCAACCCCCTGCCCCAGCCCGGAGCCCCATCCTGCACCCCAAACCCCGGCCCCATTCTGCATCCCAAACCTCTCATCTCCAGCCCCACCCCAAAGCCTGCAACCAGAGCCCTCACCACGCCACCCCCCAGAGTCTGTACCCCCTCCCACGCCCCAGCCTCAGCCCGAAGCCTTCTCCTGCCAGAGTCCTCACCCCCTTCCCAACCCCCTGCCTCAGCCCGAAGCCCCATCCTGCACCCCAAACCCTGGCCCCATCACCCACAGCCAGAGTCCTCACCCCCGTCCCAACCCCTGCCTCAGCCCAAAGCCCTCTTCTGCACCCCAAACTCTAATCTCTGGCCTCACCCCAAAGCCCACAGCCAGAGCCCTCACAACCCCACCCTCCAACCCCCTCCCCCCTCCCGGATCCCCCTCCCACACCCTGAACCCCTCATTTCTGGCCCCACCCCAGAGTCCATACCTGCAGCCGGAGCCCTCACCGCCCCCTGCACCCCAACCCCCTGGCCCAGAGTGAGTGAGGGTGGGGGAGAGCGAGCGACGGAGGGAGGGGGATGGAGTGAGCAGGGTGGGTGGCCTCGGAAAAGGGGCAGGGGGCGGGGCAAGGGTGTTCGGTTTTCTGCAAATAGAAAGTTGGCAGCCCCCGGCATATGTATTCGGAGAGAACAATGGGTTACAGGAGCTCATGACCTTTCCTATGATATCTTACGTGGCCGGCTGTGTAAAACCGATCACCATTACACGACCATGGTGAATATGGCGGTTCCGGGGTGCTGCTTTGAGGTGCAGGGGGGGCACGTGGCACAATGGCCGGTCCCTTCTCCAGCAGGCAGGGCTGCCGGGGAACCAGGTAGGGGGGCACGACCCCAGTGATCAGGAACCCCATAGGTGGGGAGCAGGCCCTGCTGGGGCGGTTTCTTTCTGGGCCTTGGCAGAGGGGCGGAGAAGGGGGCTCAGGCCAGGCCCCACGGGCCGGGCTGCGGTTGCCGTAGTGACTAGGGGCTGTGTTGGCAGGTCCATACCTGGAGGAGGCCCCTGTCATCCTGGACAAGCCAGACGTGGTGTACACAGTGGAGGACCAGCCAGCCTCCGTCACCGTGACCCTGAACCACGTGGAGGCCACGGTCACCTGGAAGAGGTGGGATGCAGCTTCGCCAGCCCCAGCTCTGGCAGCACCCGGGCGCGTGAGCCAGGCTGTCCATGGCGTGACTGGGGCCTCTGTCAGCCAGCACCGTGCGGGGCTCCCGGGGGGCTCCCTGTGGCCCTGCGCTCCGGGGGTGCCTCTTGGAGCATCTCCAATCCCCCGCCCTGCACCCCCGAACCATTGCTGAATTGTATATACAGCTGCGGGGGGTGTCCCAGCGACTCCAACCCGGCCTCTCCCAGCAGGGGGCGCTGTGGGGGCGGGGTGGGGACCTGGCTGCGGGGGGTGGGCTCCCAGCGACTCCAGCTCAATCTCTCCCAGCAGGGGGCGCTGTGGGGGGCGGGGTGGGGACCTGGCTGTGGGGGGTGGGGCTCCCAGCGACTCCAGCTCAGTCTCTCCCAGCAGGGGGCGCTGTGGGGGCGGGGCGCTGGGTGACGGGGTGTCCTTCCCCCGGCAGGGGCAGGTCGGTGCTCGAGGAGCGGGCTGGCGCGTGTGAGCTGAGCATGGCCGACGACGACCAGCACTGCCTGCGGCTCTGCCAGGTGCACCGCGGGGACGCTGGGGAGCTCACCTGCGAGGTGAGCAACAGGCACGGCGCGGACAGCTGCTCCATCAGCCTGCAGCTGGCAGGTACGTGAGCGGTCCTTATCCTGCGTCCCAGCCGGGGGCGGAGCCTGGGCATGAGCCAGCGACACACCCCAGCCGGGGGCGGAGCCTGGGCTGAGCCAGTCACACACAGCAGCTGGGGGGCGGAGCCTGGGCACCTGCAGGCCACACCCCTCCTAGCCTGGGGGCGGAGCCTGGGCCCCTGCAGGCCAGGGCGAGGAGGCAGCCACCTGCTCCTGCCTGCGCTCAGGAGTGGAACGTCTCTCGGTCCCCAGAGGCGCCGCGCTTCGAGTCCATCATGGAGGACCTGGAGGTCGGGGAGGGTGAGACGCCGCGCTTCGCCGTGGTGGTGGAGGGCAAGCCGCTGCCCGACATCATGTGGTACAAGGTGAGCCCTGGGCCTCCCTGGGGCGTGAGGGAGCCAGGGACACCAGTCAATGGATGGGACCCCTGATCCCAACCCGCAGCCCCCTGCCAGTCCAGCCCTGCCCCCTGCTCTGCTGGTGCCCCCGATCCCAAACCACAGCCCCTGTTCACCCAGCCCTGGGCTCCCCAGCCCCTCAATCCCGATTTGCAGCCCCCTGCTACCCCACCCCCACCCCTGCTGGTGCCCCTCACTCCTGACCCACAGCCCCCTGCTGTGCCAGCCCTGCCCCCCCCAAGGGAACGGGTCCTGGTCACCCAGGGTTCTCCAGGAGGAAGGTGGGTCCTGGGTGCTCTGGGAGGGGGCTGGATCCCAGCTGTGGGGGGCCAGGACCCCTGGCTGCCACGCCAGGTGGCGGTGCCCCTGGCATTGGGCCAATGGTTATGCGGGCCCCAGGAGTCGGTGGCTGTGCTGGGGGTGCCTGACGCCCACACTCCCCCCAGGACGAGGCGCTGCTGGCCGAGAGCAGCCGCCTGACCTTTGTCTACGACGACAGTGAGTGCTCCCTGGTGCTGCTGGGCGCCACGGCCCACGACAGCGGCGTCTACACCTGCACCGCCCGGAACCTGGCCGGGGAGGTTTCCTGCAAGGCCGAGCTGCTGGTGCGCGCAGGTAGGGCCCTGCCAGGTCCCCCAGCCCCTCGACTTCTGGGGCACGGTGCCAGGCCTGGGGAGGGGGAGCAGCCCGGAGGCCTTGGGGAGGGGCTCTTTGCCGGGGGCTGCATCCCTCTGTCCAGATGCCCATCACCTTGGCGTCTAGGTGCCACTGTGGACCAGTTGGTTGTCTCCAGTGGGGAAGAGGGTAGCGACGAGGGCTTTGCCATGGCCCTTCCACTCCCCCACCCCCAGTCCTCTTCTGCCCCGGCACCCTCCCCCCGGCCATTCCCACCCCCGCCGGCACCCCACCCCACTCGGTGCCATGGCTGGTCCCACACTCACGGGCTCACCAGGACTCGTGCTCTTTCTCAGCTCTGTGCGGTCCGTGTGTGGGGGGGTGCCCCCTTCAGCGTGACAGCCCTTCTCGGGGGTCCACTCTCTCCCGGGGTCAGTCCCCTCCACCTCCTGGAGCCGCACCTCTCTGAGCCTTAGCACATCTGTCTCTGCCGTGGGCCCCCTCAGGGAGTCCCCTCGCTCTGGACCCCCGGGGCCTCCACCTTGATGCCCGCCCTGTTCTCTAGCCCGGAGCGACTCTCAGCCAGCGTAACACAGGAGGTTTATTGAGAGTTGAACCCAGCACAGGAAACTCCTCAGACTGGTCGCTCTCTGCCAGCTGGGCAATCAGCTGCTCCTGGGTGAGCCTCTGTCAGGGCTGATTCCCCCTCTGGCACTTCGAGTGCAGAAGGTGGGGGCCCGCAAGGGTTTTAAAAATGAATCCTGGCCATTCCAGGCTGGTATTAAACTCCCAAGGTTACAGCTTCTCTCTGACCTTGGATGGGTAGATGCTGCCACCACCCAAGTGCAGAACCCCCTTGAGAGCCCAGGAAGGCGCACTTGGGAATTCCTCCCTTGGGTCCCCTCAAGCCCTTCCACCCCCCACCCCCCCGGGGAAGAGCTGAGAAAGAAAACAAAGGAAATCAGCTGTTGCCACCAGCTAATTAAACAACATTTGCACAAACCTCTTAGGACACCAAAATCTAATCCTGTTCTTAAAAAACAGTAAAGTTTATTAAAAACAAAAAGAAGGAAAATACATCGGGAACTTAGGCTTTTGCTAGATTTTAAAAGAGCAATTCCAAAAATTAAGCCTCCAAACTAGCTTTCTTGGGGGTTCAGCTTAAAGGTTACAAGCAACCAAAAGCACCTGGGGTTAGCACAGAGGAGTCCACACGCCATAAGAAATAAACCTAATCGCATCTCTCTAAACATTCCTGATCTACTTACACAACTGGGGGTTCCAAATCGTAGTTCTAGGTCTGATCTGATGATCTATGATCACACCTGGCTTAACGCTTCTAACAGCGTAACCGCTCCCTGTTCCCCTCTTTCCCGGAGAACCACAACACACAGACAAAGGGAAGTTTTTTTCCCAATTGTAAAAAGTTCTAGCCCTCCCATTGGCTCTTTCGGCCAGGTGCCCACTCACTTCCCTTTACCTATGCATGCAGTCAGACTTTTTAACCCTTTACAGGTAAAGCAAGTAGAGAACAGCTACTAAGAGGGATTTTACAGCTAACTGGCTGGCTGGGTGTCCATCAAAGGGAGCTATTCCCCCCCCCACCGTCCCTTTATTTATCACAGCCTCCCAATGCGCAGCCTCCCAATGCTCAGCCCTCTCTCCCTGCACAGACGGGCCAGGTCCCTCTTTCGGAGCTGGTTCTAGGCCATTTCCAGGCTGGTTCCTTCAATTCCCTCGTTTTATCGCTGGCAGCCACTCACTGCAAAACGCCTGTAGCCAACCGTCTACAGGGTGCATCCGCCAACCATCCTCTGCTACCACGTTGTCACAGACTCACAGATCGTGCCCACTCGCGGCCCCGTGCGGTCCGTGGGGGGTGCCCCTTTTAGTGAGACAGCCCTTCTCGGGGGTCCACTCTCTCTCGGGGTCAGGTCCCTCCACCTCCTGGAGCCGCACCTCTCTGAGCCCTAGCACGTCTGTCTCTGCCGTGGGCCCCCTCAGGGAGTCCCCCCGCTCTGGACCCCTGGGGCCTCCATCCCCCCGAAGGGGTTGATGCAACCCTGTTCTCTAGACCGGAGTGACTCTCAGCCAGCGTAACACAGGAGGTTTATTGGGCATTTGAACCCAGCACCAGAAACTCTCAGGGCCTCAGGCCTGGTCTCCCTTATCCCAGCACATCCCAGTCTCCCTGCATCCAGGTGGGCTCTGCCTGCTCCCCCTCTCCAACCCAGAGCCCCCCTGCTCCCAGCTGGGCCTCTGAGATCCCCGGCCCCAGGCCCCGCCTCTGTCCATTGTCTTCTCTCCAGGTAAACAGGGTCGTAAACCAGGTCTCCTGGGCCTCCTCTCCCCTCTTCTGTCCTCTGGCCCCTCTGGCTGGAACCGGCTGGTCTGGTCACCGGGGTCCTCTCCCCGCAGCCCATTGTCCTCCCACTGTAGGGTTACCATATTTCAACAATCAAAAAAGAGGACGGGAGGAGCCCCACCCTAGTCCCGCCCCTGCCCTAGCCCCGCCCCCG